ATATATATGTCCTTAAACCAAATTTCACTCATTCATTCGTTCGTTTGTTCCTTTGTTCGTTCATTCATTTATTTATTTATTCATTACTATTCGTACATTTATTTAATCATTGAGATATTATCTTAATTAATTAAACCAGTCATTCATTCATTCATTAGTATTTGGCATTTATTAATTTATTATATATGCTTTTGTTAATATAATTGAATCATTCTCATGTAATCATATAATCAATCAATCACTTATTCAATCAACCATTTAATCATTGAAGTATTTATTTGTGCATTTATTAAATTATTTAGTGATTCATTTTCTTGGTGAATAATTAGAACGCATTCATTTATTTATTTATACATTCCTCCATTCATTCATTTATTCATGCATGCATGTATCCATTCATTGATTTATTCAATCAACCAATCAATCAATTAAACATGACAATCGATCAATCAATCAATCATGTCAATCAATTTATCAATCTAATCAGTTAATCTGTCATAAATCATTCATTTAGTACAATTTGAGTATACTAAATTGCAGCGTGCGCACTTCTGTGCGATTGCAGCAGCCGCGAAGACCTGCTTTCGTGGTGTGACTGTGCATAATGAATTTTCATGCGGATAGTCTCTTGTCTCTTTTCTTTCTCTACTCTTGATTGGGATGTATCGCTCACTGACCGTTAAGTCTGTTTTCCACTTGCGAATTTATTCGCGCGAGTTGAAATCATCGGTTCATGCGCATGCGCATTCATATTTATATCGGAGTTTTCGCTTCAGCGCAATTGGTAGTTTTAGAACTGTTTCTACATTTTGCGAAGCTAATAAAGTGCACAACCAATCAGAGCTCAGGAACCGAACCGATTCAATTCGCGCGAATAAATTCGCCTAGTTTATTCGCGAGAATCGAAAATGTTTACCCATACGCATGCGCAATTAAGATTCTCGAGATGAAAATTAATCTGCGCATGTGTATAGGCGAAAATGTTTGATTCGCGCTAATGAATTCGTCTAGTGGCAAAAGGCCTTTAAGGCTATGTTCTCACACGGCATCTAACGTTTAGCAGGATCCGGATCCTAATAGCCGTTAGCTGCCGTGCGTCCATACGAGAAGATCGATCCGGATACCAAGAATATGATGATGGAATCACTGGCCAATAACAAACTGGAAATTGTAAACGCGTACGTGTGATCGGTTGATGATAGAAACGCGCACAACTTGCTAACCGATGGCGCTTGCTAACCGTTAGCGATATCCGGATACCGCTAACGGTTAAGCCTATTTTCCACTTGGCGAGTTTATTCGCGCGAATGGAAATCGGCGGATCATGCACATGCTCATTCACATTTCTATCGGAGTTTTTTGCTAGTGAAAAAATGCTTAACCAATCAGAGCTCAGGAAGCGAACCGACGCTTTGATTTGCGTGAATAAATTCGTCTAGTGGAAAAACAGCTTTAGAGCTAACCGATCAGGCGTTCTCACACACGTGCTAACGGTTGGCGCTAACGTTAGCTCCCGATTCGGATACTAGGTCTGTCGTGAGATCCAGGCTTAAGCCGGTTTTGCACTAGGCGAATTTATTTATTCGCGCGAATCAGAGCGTCGGTTCGCCTCCTCAGTTCTAAATTGGTTGCGCATTTTTTTTCGCTTCGCAAGCACTCCGATAGAAATGTGAATGCGCATGAGCATGAATTGACGCTTTCGAATAAATTCGCCTAGTGAAAAACCAGTTTAGGCCGGTCGTACGGCATTGGGTTGGCTATTCCACGTGTGACTGATAGAGCGCGCGCATATTCGTTGGTCGAATGTATTAAAATTGCACACCTGCCACCTGTGGACTGCCACTTAAAAATAATAATGCAAAAAATAAATAGTTTCATTTACTTAAAGGATTTAAGACGCCAGTGACGTCATTAAAGTCAATTATCAACATTCGTCAACCAATGACTATTTTTTCTTGCGTCGACCGAATTAATATGAATTCTCCAAAATTTAAAGGCATGTTTTTTTTAAATCCTGAAACTGTTCCCAACTTAAATTCCAGAAATAATTCATTATTCGATAAATAAATTTACGAAGACACAAGTAAGGTAAGTTGAAGATCCTGTAATTCGTTCATAGGCGCAGAATTCCATTTAGTGACCCAGAAAATTAGCAACAAAACAACTTACGTAAAATGTATAATTCAGTCTTCAAAATCATTTAG